TGCTAAACACGAGCGTAGGCATACAGGCTACTATTGCCTTTATTGAAGAAACTAGGGCTGCAACACAGGCCTGGCACAAAGGAAACCTCGAGAACTAGGGCAACACCTATACTAGGTGGCCTCGCCCTACACCCACCCTACCTCTCTCTTTTACCCGCAAGACCCCCTTCTACCTCCCTCTAGACTAGGCTACGAGCCTCACCTCGATTTAGATAGCCCCCTCCCCCACCTACACCAAAGTGATAGCACTACGTAGATACTTGCGGGCCTAGCCTGCACGTCTTATATAGCCCACCGGCTGAGACAGGACGTAAAACCAAAATAATAATAATAATAATAATAAAAGAAGAACAAAGTTGATTTTATTAGCACTATTTCCTACCTCCTAAGAGAGCCCGCTGGAAGGTAGCCTAGCTCCCCTACATCTCTTCCTGTTACCAAACTGCTCTTTAGCACCAGGCATCTACAAAGCTAGTTAAAGCTTAGCTAGATAAAGGCCGAAGCACCACAGTCACGCAATACAGCACAAAGTACCAAATTGTAAATAAGCAGATAGAACGGCCTTTGGCCAAAGTCCTACATAGCCAACGGTTGATACAGGACTATAATGGAATAATAATACGTACGACAGAAAATCGCAATACGTACTACGAGCTAGTCACGTGATAATACACCACATTATATATCTTCGATTTCTAAAATCAAAAAGATTAACATCCATCCCTACGTAGCGCAAATCCGGGCGTGCCGCAAGCAACCAATCAAATCTCGTGAATAGGGACAAAGTCTTTGATTCAAGACGGCTGATTGGTTACTTGCGTCACGTAGGGATTTGCGTCACTAAGGGATGGACGTTATGTTTTCAGATTTACTTGGCTTGAATTTAAGATTGAAAATTATTGTTATCATTGAGGTGATAGGCCCGTGCTCCGCACGGGCAATTTCATTGAAATTCTGCTACAGCAGCCGTTGGGCCCGAGTATATAGAAGCTTCTGGAATTCGTCGTAGAACAGACGCAGTCTCCGCAGCCCATTGCTCCAACCGAGTCTGGTGATTCATGTGTTTGTTCCAGAAAATGTCGAATCGTATCTTGCCATCTGTTATGGAAACGATAACATCCATTAAAGAGAACCAAGGCAATTTTCCCGCGAAGCCAGCTAACCCGATCTCTTCGCAACCTTCAACCTCTTTGAATAGCGAATTCTCCCGCTCCAGGTGCTGATTTAGACCCGCGTAGATAAACGCAATTTCCATATTCTGATAAGAGGATCTTTCTTCGTATCGACCTTCAAGCGAAAAAAGAGAAGCAAAATCCAAGGTTCCATGATCCTCACGTTTTCGATGAGTTGAACGGACGCAATCGAGTTCTTCAAGAAAACTGACTCTTCTGCCGGGCGGTGAATTTACGGGCATAAAAGCTGCAAACCATCCCACTGTAGAGGTGATGTCAATCCGTGGACTCCAAACTTCTCTGCCGTGGCCTTCCAAGTAAACATTCGGTCCTTCTCGCTCGAAGAAGATGTTCTTGAAGGCGAAAGTGGTTGCTGCAAGAAACAGCTCTACTGGCTCAGCCTCGAGGGGTTCGCACTGAGATAGAATTGCGGATGAAACATGCTCCGCTAACTCGAAAGTGTGTACACTCATGTCTCCTCTTAATTTGGGCCTGTGTTGCATGTTCCAGAATTTGAGATTGGTCTTGGGAAATGCTGACAATATCTCCTTTTTTACCTCTTGATCTGACTCCGTCTTGGCACGCAATAACGCTGACCATTTTTGGACTGAGAGAGAACGTAGACTTGATGCCACCCCACCAGATAGTGAACTTTCCAGCTCACCCAATAAAATCCTCAAGGACACGAAGTCAACCACTAGATGGTGAATGGTTAAGAAAAGAAACTGCCGGCTTTTGATCACAAAATATCCTGCTGCAAAGAGAGGTCCGTTGCGGATATCTAACTGGGTCTGTAAAAGCTTGCAGATTTCTGTTACATCGCCCATTGCTGCAACTTCACGATAATGAAACAGGTACGGATTGTTCTTCTCCGACGAGATAACCTGAAACCATCGTGCACCAGCCTGTATGAAACGTGTGGTCAGGGCTGGATGCCTTTGGACTAGGACATCCAAAGCTTCTCGGAGCGCGTTCTCTGAAACACCAACTCTAACTTCGAGTAAATGAGAGAGATTAAAGCAGTTCTCTCCTAATGGAACTGTTTCGAAGTGAAATTGCTGGATGGGAAGTAACGGGAATGGTAGATCAAGATCGTCATCTTCTTCACTGTCTTCCTCATAATACCCATGGTCCTGATCCTGCACCATCTTAGAAAGCTTACTAATACTTTTGTGCTGAAGCAATAAATTGACACTAATGGAGATGCCTTCCGCACGGCACTTCGAGACAACTTGTATAGCAGATATAGAATCTCCTCCAAGGGACTGGAAAGCAGTGTCCTCGAATATTCTAGCTTCAGGGACATTGAGAACGGTGCTCCATATAGCTCTAAGCTTGATTCCTAGTTCTCCAGTGATTTCCCTTTGAAGCCAATCATTTGTTACAGCCGTATCCCTTCTTTCAGCAGCAATTTGTTCGAGTTGTCGATAATTGAGCTTTCCAGATGGAGTCTTTGGAAGCTGTTCGAGGAGCAAGTACCTTGACGGAATCATGATCCTAGGCAGATCTTCCGCGAGCTTTCCCTCAATGCCAGTCAATAGCTCCGTTATTCGAAGCTCTTCATTGCGGCTCATCGCTTGATTGGTAGATAAGAAAGCAATAAGAGCTGTGCTACGATGTTTTCCAGGCTCGAGTTCGCAAAGCTTCACGGAGATAGTAATGGGCTCGTTGACAGCCTCTCTTAGTCTGTACTGTACCTCGTTCAAGTCTATGTGCTGCCCGTTGAGCATGAATCGATCGCCTTTACGACTAACGAATTCGAGGTTCCCCTCCGCATCATACCGTACCAAATCACTGGTCTTATAGAATCTCCGGCTTATATAGTGATTAGAATCCCTCCGCGGTATATTTTTGGACCAACTTGGGTCGTATATAAAATCATTGGTCGCAATCGACTGTTCGTCAAGATATCCACGTCCGATGTGTGGGCCTTCGACGATGAGCTCTCCCACACAGCCAACAGGCGCAAGCTGGTTATGGTTATGGGGTTCTACTATCCAACCACAACCAACTTTCAGGCGACCGATGGACCTCCAATTCATGCCCAAATGCAATGGAGCGGAACAAGCCATGACCTCCGCTGTTTCCGACTGCCCATAGACTGAACGTAAATCCACAAGCTCATTCCAGGATATCACAACTTCTTTGGGAAGAGGCTCGCCAATGGCTGCTAGCCCCTGTAGGGTTTTAATACGATTTGGGTTGATGCCCATAAGCATGGAGGGTATAAATATGGCCCATGTCACTTGAAGCTGGTTCATTGTGTCTTCAACGTTGCTTCCCAGATCTGTTTCGCTTGGAATACAAAGACAACCACCCGCTATCAGCACACCAAGGGTTTCCACAAGAAATGTTCCAGAGCTGTGGGGTGCAAATTGAAATCCTCGTGTTCCGGGTCCAAGACCGGAGCATTTGATAAACGCTTTCAAAGATGATGAGACATTGGCATGCTCAACTACGCATCCTTTAGGCTCACCCGTGCTTCCACTGGTGAAGACAATATATGCAGCACTACTAGGATCAACGATTCTACCGAAGAGACCATCTTCGGGCAAATCAGTGAAGGTGCTTTCGTGGAGAACGATAACAGTATCCACCATAGACAACATACCAACACACCTTTTTGAAGTGATACCCATCTTAGCCTTAGTCTTACTAGCCATGAACGACCGGTGCACAAGTGAGTCGCATGGGCCAACCATGACAAAGGTAGCACCAACTTTTAATGTGGCTAGAATCGCGACAGGAACCCACACTGTCTTTTCGAAGCATATCAATATAACATCTTCGAACTGAACATCAAGAGAAACGAGATGCTGGGCCAGCCTGTCCGAGTATCTGTTCAATTCTTCATATGACAGAGTGCCATCAGGGGCCTCTATTGCTCGATTGTATGGATGCTTATCCGCCCAGTTGCATATGAGGGTATGTATACAACTCCTAGCTTCTGCATTTCGGACAGAGTTCCACTGAACAATCTCTGAATAGTCTTCCGGCGACGCTATGCTGATTTCACTTATTCCGTTATCCCCATTTGCTACCTGAAAAAATTGTTTGCAAACATGAGAAAACTGTGCAAGAATTCGCCTTGTTTGAGTTTCATTTAGGACTGAATCAGCGTAGCTTGCGGTAACCAAAATGTTTCCACTTCTAAGAATCTTGCAAGAAAGCAGAAGAGGGTGAGGGTGGACGAAGCTATCGACGAAGAATTCCTGTTCGAAAATAGACTCAGTACTGTCAGATTCCTGCGGATCAGGTGGCTCGGTGAATATTAGACTATTGAATGTGCAAGCATTTCTTATGTCTTCTCCTAAGGCTTGAATGTGATGTAAACCGCAATGCTGATGACCAATCATCTTGTTGCTCATGTCTTGAACATCGATTAATAGTTTGGACGGCTGTTTCTCTTGGCTGACATTCACCCTTAATGGCAGCGTTGTGAATGTTGGTCCTGAAATACTTTCGATTCCTGGAATTGGGAGGCTTCGTCCGCTTAAGACCACTCCAAGCACTACATCCTCAGCGTCACAATAACGCCCAACGACAGTTGCCCAAGACAAATACAAGATAGAAGAAATTGTCACATCTGAAGATGTCAGTTTCCCCAACTCTATCGTCATCTCGATGGATGAAGACGCTTTTGTTTCCAGGTTCGTTGTAGTGACTGGGGGAAACGGGGTTCGCTCTGCACCCATGAGAGTCTTCCTCCAGAAATCGTTATCCTGTTCCTGTCTTTCAGCGTCCTCTATGTATCGAATGAAGTTATTAAATGTTATCACGGATTCGCTCAATCCGTGATAGGCCTTTCTTAATGAGCGTAATAAAATACGTAGTGACCATGCATCGTAGATCGTATGATGGAGGAACCAATCAAGTCGGTGCAGATTACAGCCTGTGCTCTTCTTGAGAACAAATTGACTTAGAGGGGTTCCAAATGACATTGAGGGGGCTTTGCTGGCGACTTCGTCTCTCTCAAGTTCTCTCTCAAGTACAGTGAAGCTATCATTCTCAGACAGTACAAGCTGGAGCATTGTTTCCTTCCCTGAAGATTCCAAGACACATATCCTTGTTCTCAGAATGGCATGGTTACGCCTGACAATGTGAAGAGCCTTAAGAAACTTGGGAAGATCGACATTGGGCCGCAGATCTAAGGAGATTTTTATAATATATGACCCTGACAATTTAGTTGAGAGTGACATAATACCCTCTTGAAGAGGCGAGCAAGGGTACATATCTTGAACATCAGTAGGTTTGATGCCGTATTTTGAGAAAGCTTCCGATAGCAGAGAACCAACAATTGAACCGTCAGGAAGAATCGCAAACGGAGAAATCTTTTCAATGGGTTCTTTGCCGACACGCTTTGCCACTGAAGCCATTTCACGAAGAACAGGCTTAGAGAAGACATCTGAAACGAGCAAGGAGATGCCATGCTCCAGAGCAAGGCTAGAAAGACGCATAGCGGCAATCGAATCTCCACCCAACCTCAAAAAATGGTCAGCTGCACTAATCGTCTCAGGCCTCATTTGCAAAACATCCCCCCATAAGGTTCTCAGTGTTTGTTCCGCTTCAGTCAAGCTTGAGTAGGGCTCCTCGGTGATTGCTGGTGCCTTTTCCTGCTGTCGCTGAATCTGCAACAATTCTGTTCCTTTTTCTCGGAGTTTCTTTCTATTGAGCTTACCGCTTACCGTTAGGGGTAGTTCATAGATGGGTAGAAATACAGTAGGGACCATGTAGCCTGGCAGTTCGGAATAGAGCAGTTCGGTTGCGGCCGTGCTGAACTCTTGTAAAGCCCCAANACATATATTGTTACTGAGGAGTG